TCAATTTTGCCAAATACTTCTACATTTTACTTTTTCAAAAAAAATTTTAAAAATGTTTTTTCGTCTATTTATTTACCCATTTGTCTTGTATTATAGGATGTAAACACAACAAGTCTGATTGTGTAATCATACTTTGTTTTATTTTTCAAGCATCAATTTAGTGCATGAAAATGGTCTAAACTTATTGCATAATTTAATGATAGAGATTGATCTGTTTTCCTTTTCATGCATCAATTTAGTGCATGAAAATGGTCTAAGCTTATTGCACAATTTAAGAAGAAATCTTTCTCTTTTCTTAAAAAGGAAGAAAAAGAGAAGCGAAAAACCAAGAAGAGCAATAAATGCCATCTTGATTTTGTTTATGTGTATCTACTTATGATTGACTAGATAGAACATATAAATCCACAATCTCATAAACAAAAATAAAGTGTAACGGATTTATGACATCAAAATGGAACCTTCAATTCAATGTCAAACTCTCTAAAAACTTTTGATTGCCCTTGTCGGCAGAAAGACCTCACATGCAGCTATCAAACTATAAATACGTTGCAGCCCTACAGGCTTGCATACAGACCATTTGTCTCTCAAGATAGAAGGATTTTCATTTGCAAGGAATCAATGCATTCTACTACATTCTTCTTCCTAAATCAATCCAAAGTTTTCATCTTCTTCCCCAATTTCCCATTTCTATGTGAGGTGTGATACCTGAATATGTGACAAATGCTGCATCCTCTTGGTGCACCTCCAACATCAAGTCACTGCCCTAGCTCCTAGGCTCTATTCTCAAAACTCTTTTTCCTTCCAAAACTAAGCTCACAAAAAAGAGAGAGAATGAGAAATTTAGTGTTTCAAGAGTGGGAGGTGAGACTTATAAGCGTGACAAGAACCTAACCATGAATGGAAGTCTATTCTAAGGGTTTCATTTTTTGTTCCTCTTCTTGGCCTTGCAATTCTCTTGTGCTCACTCATGTCTATAATGCTTTTCATTGAACGAGTCTACATGGTAATTGTCATTTTGTGTGTGAAAGTGTTGAGGAAGAAAAGATACACTAAGTATAACCTGGAAGCCATGAAAGATGTAGAGCTTAATAAAAGCCACCCCATGGTGTTGGTTCAAATTCCTATGTTTAATGAGAAATCGTTATATATTATTAGTTCTTTGCTGCATATTCTCATTCTTAACTGCCTTTCAAAAAAAAAAACAAATTTTATTCTTACCTAAATTCTCATTCTTTAAGTATAGATAAATTAAATCAAATTATGCTTTTGACTCCCTTGAGCGGACACTTTTTTTCGTACACCTATGATTAATATAATCTTTTCATTTGGCTGAGTGAAACAAAAAAAAAGATAAATTAAGTCAAAAGCATAGAAATAAATTTTACTCCTAGCTAGAAATTGCACTATTAATAGATGTTACATAATGTAATGTTGGAGCAATAGAAATTTGTTAAAAAAAAAACAATATGTCATTTTGATTAATAACAGTTTAATTAGTTTTAAGAATTTTTTAATTTAAAATAAATATATATAAAGATTTAATTGAACTTACTAAATAATATTATTTATTTAAATTTTTTTAAATAATTCAAGATTTTTTGAGGTATTATACCTTGTTAATTTCTGTATTTTGGCATATACCAAAAGTCTAGAAGAAAAAATAATTTGTAAATTAGGCAAGTAGCCATCCAGGGGCGGAGCGTCCCTTTGTAATGTCCCCCTCCAAAAATTTTGAAATTTTTTATATATCATATTTTTTTATGATTTTTAAAATAATTTTTATTAAACAATTAATATAATTAAAAAATAATAAAATAATGTTACAAATAATTAATATATTAAATAATTAATGTAATCAATTTTACTCAAATTCTTAATTTTTTTTATTTTTTAAGTTTTTTCACCTATCTTTCCTTCTTTTCTTTTCTATCCTTATATTATGAAATTATAAAGAGGTAAAGTTTTTATTTAATTTTTTCTATTTATATTATTATTATTATTTATTTTTCTCAATTATATTCTATTTTCTCATATATTTTAAATTTTTATAGATTTTTTTTAAATTTCTACAAATCATCAATTATTTTTTTTGTTATATAGGTTATATCTCCTACTTGTCATGATTTTTTTTTGTTATGTAGATTTTAATTTTTAAAAATTAAAAAATAATTGTATATGTAATTTTCAAATATAAGTTCTAGTGTTGCATTATTAGTTGTTGTTTAAAATTTTACTAATATATTAATTTTTCTTAATCCTAATTATATAAGAAAAAATTATTTTGAGTATATGTTTTTAATGTGCTTTATATTTTATATTTAGTTGAAAGAAAAATATCTTGAGTATAAGAAGAAATTATTAATTTTGTATATCATATTTAGCTATTTATATTTTATGCATTATAGTTTAATATTTAGTATTATAAACTTAAATATAATAAAATAAAAAATTAGATATTGACTATATTCATTTTTTAGTTGTTTATATTGAGAAATACAAGATTTTGAAATAAAATAGATGATAAGTTTCTTATAAATAATTTAATTATTTATATTAAAAAGATATTATCATTATCGAACAAAAGTTTCTTAGAGCACTATTATAAGTTTTTTTTTATTTCTTTTAATTTATATGTTATATAAAATTATTATTTATTATAAATTTTTTTATTATTATTGTTAAGTTCCATATATTAATTTTAAAAAATTTTAACTTTTATTTTTTTTAACTCTTGACCCTCCAATAAAAATTAACTAACTCTGCCCCTGTAGCCATCAAAAGATTTGGTGAAGCAACTTATAATTAAGAGCCCCGGCTTGTTGTGAATTAGGTGGCTATGGTTTCATCCGTTGTGAGAATCTTGAGAGACTTGTGAATGTGATGATATCACTTGAAATAAATAAGTATCCAGAAATAATTAGCGCCATTAATTTATTTGTTTGCTTTGAAGGTGTACAAGCTCTCCATTGGAGCTGCATGCGGACTGTCGTGGCCATCCCCTCGTCTGATAGTTCAAGTTCTTGATGACTCCACCAATGAAGTTTTAAGGGTATCTCTTCAATCACAAATAAACTTATTAAATCAGCCCTTCTAATTAGTCTGTGAACGTTAAATGACTTGCAGCATGATACCAACAGGAACTGAGAATTTCAAGTGTCGGAAATGGATAGAAAAGGTGTAAATGCGAAGTATGAAACCAGGAACAATAGGAATGGCTTCAAGGCCGGTGCGCTTAAGGAAGGTTTAAAGAAGCAACATGTCAAAGATTGTGAGTTCGTGGTGATCTTTGATGCAGACTTCCAGCCTGATAAGGATTTTCTTGGGAGGCCTGTTCCTTATCTGCTAGAGAACCCTGAGTTGGGTTTGGTTCAGGCCAGATGGAAATCTGGCAAGAAAGCCATAGAACGAGATTAAATTCTTTCATCAACTCTGAACTACTTGAAGCATTTGGAAGTAGTTTGAAAGGAATTTAGCACTTATTTGCGGTGAATTTTAAGGAAATTGTTATTCAATTTGTTCTCTGTAGTAAATGCTGATGAATGCCTTATGACTCGCCTCCAAGAAATGTCGCTAGACCATCACTTTAATGCCAAGCAGGAAGTGGGCTCCTCGACTTGTTCATTCTTTGGCTTCAATGGTACAAACCAAACAGCAATATCTCTAGAGAAAAATTTCATTTGGCTTTTGGCATGTGACTATCTTTAATTGACTACTTATAAATATAGGGACCGAGGGTGTTTGGAGTATTCAAGCCATTAATGATGCTGGTGGATGGAAAGATCGAACCACAGTGGAAGACAGGATCTCGCGGTGGGAGCTAGTCTTAAGGGCTGGAAATTTCTCTCATTGTGGGGGACCTTGCAGTAAGTTTCCCAACTGGATCTTGTTCCTGCCGTAGTCACCCTGGATTCTAAAACTGCAAGCTCCCATTTCCATGTTTTAATCCCACTTTATGGTATAATCCTTATATCATCTTAGTTTTTCCATATTGGTAGGTCAGAAATGAACTTCCAAGCACTTCCAAAGCATGTTTATACCAACAGCATCGCTGGTCATGCGGCCCAGCCAATCTCTTCAGGAAGATGACTAAAGAAATCATCTTTTGTGAAGTGAGTTACTCCCACCATTTCCCTCCAGGCCACCAGCTTAAATTCCAGCGAACAATCTCCAAAACTAACTCAATAATTATGCAGAGTATGGATCTTTAAGAGATTCCATGTCATCTATGCATTCTTCTTTTACTGCATACTAATTCCAACAACTGTTCTGGTTCCTGAAGTACACCTGACAAAGCCAATAGCCATTTATGTTAAACGGACAGCTCCAACCATCTTCTAATTTTCTGGATTCTGTTTGAGAATGTCATGTCACGGCGTCAAACTAAGGCTGCGATCATCGGACTCCTAGAAGCAAACCGTGTCAATGAATGGGTGGCGACTGAAGAGCTGGGGAACACTGGAAAGAAGAAGAACAGCATCAACATGTTGAAGAAATCCAGATTTCGTGTTAGAGAAGAAAGGTATTAATAAGTTGAGGTTTCAACAGCTGGATATATTTACGAGACAAGTTCAATCGCAACTTGTTAATTCCTTATTGTTTTAACTGGCAAGCTTTCGACATTTACGTTTACAAACAGGATCCATGTCTTGGAACTGGTAATGTGAATTTTTATGCTATATTGTGCAATCTACGGAAAAGACCATTTTTGCTTTTATCTGTCACTGCAAGCTGTGGCCTTCGAAATGGGATTATAGAATTGAAGACATCCGAAAGTCAAGCCACGTTTGCCTCGTTCCCCAGAAAGCTAGTTACATACAAAATATAAAAGTAAATATTAGATCAACTAGATTATAGAATGAATCTATTACATATGGTAATCTGTTATATATGCCGACGGATAGGCATAAGTATGCATAAAGTAGCAGAAAACCATTTCGGAGATGTATTTTGTCTAACACTAAAACCAAACCTATGATTTCTAAGGTTCATTTTCAGTGATCTGACCAAACCCCCACCTCATTTCACTGTTTCTAAATAAATAGATTTTATTAATATCTCTAAATACATACAGGTTGCACATAAAGGGTTTTCCTTTTTCCGGCCACAAGGATCACCTCAAGTTGGGGAAAAATAATTGAATTGACAAAACTGAGAAACATGCCCATTTAGCATGAACATATAAATTGCCAAATGAGTCATCCTTTTCACTCTAGTTCATCCAGCTTAATCTCATATTGTTCACCAGAAGAAAGGATTTTTACACCAACCATACCCTTTTGCCACTCCGTATTTCCTACCAATATTAGTCTTTCTGCATTTGCCCGTGCAGCTCGTTTGAACACCCTAAAAGAAAACAGGTATGAAATCAAAATAATGATAACTCAAGACAAGAAAGAAATTGGACAAAAACTCTGTTCAAATTTAGAATCTAAAATGACATTGTTGGCATTTGTACCATTTAAGCGGTTTGCTCTCCAAGACTAAGTCAACACTTTGGCCCTTTCCCCTGAGTTTAGTAGCAACTGTAGCAGCTACTCCTTGAAGATCATAATCCAGAGCACACACAATGTTGTCTACTTCAAGGCCGAGTTCTGGTAGAAGTCCCTTTTCCTTGAGCAACTTTGAACCGCAATCCCCATATTGCCAATATAGCCACAAGCACATCCACAGAAGCACACCCAAAAGGCAAAAACAGTATAAATAAAAGAAATTTAAAAGCAAATCAACCATAGACAGTAAAGAGAATATAGTTGTAAAATGAGGAAATGAAAGCAAAATGAGACATGAATAACCTGACCTGTCATACCATAATGATCCATAATTTACTGATATTTATAATATCAATCAGTATACAGCATAATCATGAATTCACTAGAAAATATTAAGGATAGGATTACTTAGTCCTAGGCTTTAACTTACTTCTACAATGACAGCATCACCAAACCCAAAGCCACAAGCTGGAATATCATCCCCACCAAAAGTAGAAAGTAACCGATCATAACGCCCACCACCACAAATAGCTCTCAGTTTTCCTTCTCTATCAAAACCCTGAGAAAAAAATTTGTCATACTTAAAAGTTCAAAAAGAGGAAAGAAAACAGATAAATCTTTATTGAATACTGTAATAAGCTTAGACAAGTTTCACGAAATAAACCAATGATTGAAAGAAAAATCAGAGTAAACAAGAAGAAACTTCTCACACTTACATCCTACAATACAGGCCACTGGCAAGTAAACATCTCATATACTCATAGGCAGACCTAATATTATTGGATCAACCAGTAAAGTTTGGATATCATTAATTTCAAGGGCAGGGTGCAGCTCTATAATGTTATAGTTCGATATAACTGCCAATTGTACGATCAATTACATGTGTATTCTTTATTCCATCCAGATTTGAAGCAAACTATAGTCTTCTAAGTGTCAGAAGACCTCTGGGCCATAGAGAAATACACTACCCCCAATAAGAGTCAAACCAAACTAGTTATCAGCAGAGTAAGAACATATGGGCTTAGACAAGTGTCATCAGACCCACAAGAAGTAGGATTGGAGAAGTAAATGTGAATGGTCCTTCTAAATTGAGTTTCTTATGTTCATGCCAAGACTGCATGTCAATAAGGGAAAAACTATATCATAAATCTAACCTCAAACACAATACCAGTGTAGTAGGCAAGGCCACGAACAACAGATGCATCAAACTGAATCCACTCAGAATAACCAAACTTCTCAGCAAGCGAGAACAGTTGTTTCAAGTCAGCTATAGCTTCCCCAGCACCTCCAAGTATCTCTACATTTAAGAAAGAATATAGCACAAAATTAGAATTAAGCTATGTCTTCTTAAGGAAAACAGATTTATGTACACCAGTTATCCACATAAGATTATCACATATCTCGAGAGAAACCGAATACTTATTTACCATCAGATTCCAATTTGAAGCTATTAAAATGGATATAGATATGTTTCTGTAGGAATCTGAGGGCAATATTTAATTCAAATATTTGCTACAATTCAAGAAAACTGAACATTGGGCAAACCATATGCCAACATGTTGCAGTCATTATTTATTTTCTCTCTTTGTTTCAGATGGTGATTTTTTTTTACGTTTTTTCCAAATGGTTATACAAATCTTTATCAAAAACAGCAGCTAGCCAAACCACCACCCCCCACCCCAACCCTGTGTCAAAAGGAAAAAAAAGAGAGTGTGTGTGTGTGCGTGTGTGTGTGTGTGTTTGAGAGAGAGAGAGAGAGATTCCATTGCAGTCAATACTATCAATTTGTGACACAACACCCTATTAGAAATATGACATAATAAGAGACATGTAGAAGGTCAACTAGACCAATTAGCTAACAATTCAACCAGATATATGGTGGAGAAAAACCTGAAAGCTGGAAATGACATTTGTTTAAACTGCCTTCATATAGGGTAACCTGTAATAGAGTTCACTTTTTACCATTTTTTTTTCTAGAGAGGAAAGGAGAGTACCTGCCTTTTTTCTTGGCTAAAGAAAATAATATCCAATAACATATCATAAACATGTGGAAAAACCAACCTTCCAACTTTGTCAATGACTTTATGGAAAGGACTTGCAATAGTTCCTCAATAGCCTCTTCTGATAACCCAGTAGCCTTCAACTCTCTCTTAATCTCATCTATAGGAATCTTTTCAATCTGTTTCAAGAACAACAAAACCAACAAAAATTAAAAAAAAAATCATTAATTCACAAATGCATAAATAAATAAAGAAAAGATAAGATGCCACATTAAGACATTCCCATCAAACTTAAACAAAAAAAAAATAGAACCCAAAGACCAGAAAGTGTTAAGAAAAAGCTAGTACAGGACTAAGAGAATAAAACTCAGCACTATATACATCATAAATACTAAACAACTAACCTTGTCAATGACAATGCAGACCTTGCCAAACAAATTTTCAGGTACTGAGTAGCACCTTAATACTTCTTGCAATACCTATGAAGTAGATATGAATTACAAACTCACAGAATATTATCAAGAGTGAATGCAAGTAGCAATTCTATAAGTAAAACATAATGCATGAAAGAAAGCACCAATAAAATATAGCTTTTTAACCTTAACACTTGAAGAAGGTCAATGAATGTATTCACGGAAGTAAAGAAAGACCTCAACTGGTCCATTCCATGCAAGGATGAAATAATCATACCTTTCGGCTTGAAACCTTAAAGCCAACATCTGACTCTGAGATTCCAATTCTCTTGAAGAAAGTGACAATGGAAGAAATAAGTTCTGCCTCAGCCTACAAAGGGAAAAATGGTAATCTTGATAACTAGAAAATGAATGGAGGAATCTCCCAACAAAATCATACAAAGTGCATCATGTAAACCATCTCTAGAATTCCATTAACATTAGAATCAATGTTAAAAAACTTTAGATGCACATGCCCAGCTAAACAATTTAAAACTTTTACTAAGGGAGTGTTTCTACAAAAAGTAAGGAGGAATTTCTGTATTTTTGGTGCAGGTGAGCATACGTGACAAGGAAATTGAGAAATTATGTCCAAGTTTATAAAAAATTTGGATGCTGCTACTGCTGTCCTACAGAGGTTATAAACTGTTATAAATAGATAATTAGAGCAATGAAAGGCCATACCCAACCAAGTTGAAGGGAAAATAGCATCTAGAGGAGCTTAATAGTTCACAAAGCATACCAAGTTGGCAACACATACCGTAACTTCGGGTACACCAAGAATATCCATATTCCATTGATAGTGCTCACGGCGTCGTCCCCTTGTCATTCGCTCATACCTCCAACACTGACCGACAGCAAACCACTTCAATGGAAGGGATAAAGATTTTCTGAACCAAAAAAAACAGTGGGATCAAAATCTGGCATCTGTACCTGAATACAAAAATAATACGAAAATAAATAAATGAACATCAAAATATTTTTGCACTATAAAAGATTATATCTTTGAACTTTGAAACAAAAGCAAGAAGCTTCTTTTTCTTTGAAAAACATAAGCAGCAAAATGCTGTGGAATCAACATTCTCAATACCCTTTCTGTATCACCAGCCTTGCTAGAGAAGGTGTGAGCTCAGGCCTCAATGCAACACGACGATTTCCCCGATCTTCAAAACAATACAACTGCGCATAGAAAAATTACAAAAAGCAAGAGTCAGTGAAACCTTACCTGAAAAGAAAGTTACGTGTAAATGAGACACAGGTAAATATCAACCAATTCATATCGGTGCATGCTCTTAATACTTTTGCACTCATGCCATCAAATGATAGAGCATCACATTATGACTTTCTTAGTGCAACTGCAAGTGGCTCTTGTGAACAGAATACTCATCTCATTTCCACAAGTAACTATAAGCATCCTCTGGTCAAATAAACTTAGCTATTTTATGAAAAAAAAAAATTACAAAATTATGTTGTCAGATACACTACATTAGAACCTTATCTTTCGTCTTATCTAATTACTTCAATTTAAATACCACTCAAATCAAAGATGTTTGCATATTTAAACACATTTAAGAAACAAAAAGGCTAAACCTGATCTCTAATCTCCTCCCCTGCCTTCCTAATGAACAGAGCCTCTGATTCTAGCACTGGATAATCAACCTCTTCGAATCCAAACAACCGCGAAACCTTCAACAACAGAAACAAACTCTAAGTAAAAAAACCAAAGTAAAATCACGTAGTAAACACTTCAAAAAAATGAAAACTAACCTCTCTGAAATGGTTGAAGAGCCAATTACGGAGACGCATATCTTCAGGAGGGAAGTCGCGAGTCCCTTTAGGTGGATTCACATCGATTCTCTGAAATTCCTCCGCCACTGGAGGCGGAGATAGTGCGCCGGACCTGCCGCCTCCGCCGCTGCTGCTGCCGCCATTGTCTGTTGCGGACGTCTGAACCGAAGCTACGGAAGAGAAGTTTCTAGGTTTTGCGGAGATCAATTGCCTAGGGACTGGGAATTGTTGAGGCGCGATAGAGGACTGAGTGAAAAGGAACAAAGGTTTAAGGGAGAAACTAAGGCGCGGATTCAGCAGCGAAGAAGGAAAGGGAGGCATTTGCGGCAAAGTTTTTACCCGTTCCTAAGCTGCTCTACCGCAGCAGAGTGCAGATAGCGTGGTCGCTTTGTTTGGTCTGGGCGTTGCATGGGTTTTTAATACAGGGCTTTAGTTGGGTACGTATGGGCTTTGAATGTAGAATCTCCAATCTTCAAGGCCCAAACCATGGTATTTGAGTTGTGGGCTTGCAATTATCGATTTTGGAAGTCGAATTAAGTAGGGACAAGATCATAGGAATGAGTAAAATTGGACTGGATTAAGGATTAAACTGAACCAAATATAGTTTAGATAAAACAATTCAATCTGATTAATTCAGGATTTATTAGTTTAAAAAATTTAGTTCAATTGATATATTTGATTAATTTTCAGTCTTAAAATTTTTAAACCAAATCAATCAAAAAATTAAACTAATATTATATATACATTAATATATAAAATATTTTATATATTTTTAAATTTATATAAAATATATTTTTTTTATTACTAAGTTGATGATGTGCAATGGTTGATTGTCTTATTTTATTTTGTGGATGTAATTTTATTATCTTTGTTTCGCTAAATCTTGAATTTAGGACTTGGCTAAAACTCTTGAATGTTAATTTGATAACTTATGTGAAAAGACATAATTATGTGAGTGAAAGGATAAATATTATGTTTTTTTATATTTATATTTGTTGTATATTTATAATTATAGATAAAGTTTATAAATTTTAATACTATAATTTATAAAATAAAAATAAAAATAACAAAATTTTAATATTTTTTGTCCAAAATCAAACTAACCGAATCAACTTGATCTTTGATCAATTCGATCCTCTTTTAAATTTGGTCGATTTTCATCCCTAAACGTGAAAGCATTTAATGTGTGTTACTTTCTGATGGGTATTAGAGTTAGTTTTGCAATAAATATGATAAAATTCAAACTTGTACAAAGCCTATAGTCAAAACAAATCTCAAGTGGGTTTTAATAATTGAGAGTAATTACTACATGCACTTGTCTCAATTATAGGACGGAACCATTGAATTGAATGCGGATCGCATTTTATTTGTGCTATTAGGTTTTCTTTCTCACTTAACAAGTGGATGGATATCAATTGTGGGCATTTATAGGGGAGGTTGTGCCTCAACTTCTTTTAAATACTCGTTTTGATAATTTTTTAAAGTATAATATTTAAAAAAATTATTAAATTATTCATAAAAATTAATTTTGTGATAATCTTTTGCCAATTGTACAGGTATTTTTCCGTTCTTAGGCATACAATAATAATTGATTATTATTATTATTATTATTATTATTATTATTATTATTATATATAAAATCTTAGGCAAGAATAATCTGTCCTTATTGACAAGTCTAATTATGAAAGTGAGATCTAGGCTCATAAATAATGATTCATGAGTGAGCTTTAACACTAAACAGTGGTCTGATTCATCGAAACAAAAGCAAGCATGTTGCACATTGGGATTTTTGTTGATATTTTCCAAATTGATTTTTCCACTCCATTTTACTGGTCCGAGAATGTTCACAGTCCACGCGATACATTACTTCACATCACGAGGATACCTCAAAGGAAGTTTCTTGCTGTTCTTGGCTATTGTAACAAATTCCACCACGGAAACCGTGGGTGGGGGACCTTTGGTCTTGGCTTTTCTCCTAAATTAAAGATTATTAGAAATGTACCCGTGCATTGCATACGAATACAAAAATACATATCGCAATAGTTCAGAATGGTTATAATTTAATATGAATTTTGTACACATTCAAATATATGATAAAATAGTTGATGTATGATTTTTATGCTCAAAAAGTAAAAATTTTTAATTTTTTAAATAAAAAATTAATTTTAATAAAAATATAACTTTAGAAATGAAATTATGTATTTGAGTCATCCAAATTTCAAACATTGAAAAAAGTATGGACTGATCAACAACAATAACAACATCTTCAAGAATAGGTAAAAAATAATGCAAGTTGAAAGAAAGGAAAGAAAGATCTTGAAGGCAAAAAGAGGTTACAGGAAGAGTGTAACATCAAAACACAAAAGCAATGATGGACAATAGTACAGGAGACACCACCCCTCAAGCCAAATAAATAAAAATCAAAAGCTATTTCAAAGCGCAGATTAGATAAGCGGTGCAGGGAGATGTGAGCTTATGACAAGTTATTCTTTGAGAGTAGTAAAATTTATCTATGACTTCAAGCTTACACCATTGAATTTTTTTTTATTTTTTAATTATTTTTTATTTCAATTATTATCTTTATTTCAATATTTGACTACATAAATTTAATTAGTCATTTTGAAAAAGCTAAAGATCCACAATAATTTTCTTTTCATTATTTTCACAACTCATCACATAATAACCTAATAAAATCATAACGTTGCTAATTGTGGATCCAGCTTTGGATCTTCTTTTTATTTATGTTATAGATTGTGGCTGCCTCCAGGTCCCCACGAGGACAACATCGAGAGAGAGGAGGGACGAAGACGAAGGGCTGTCAGTGTCACATTCAAAAATTAAGTGCGAACGTCTCTCTTGTTTTCCCCCACTTCCCCCCTAGGACCTTGGCCAATTGGGCCTTCGCCAGTTCCTCCCCGTTGGTGGGCGTTGTGGTTGCTTACATCATTGAATTTGTCAGCATTTCTCGCAAAGTCAGAACATTCATCTTTCCTGCCATTTGTCAGAGTTTCACATCTCCTATTCTTTCCCTCCTTTAAGCCTTCCGAAACGCCTCCTCAGCAGATTAATAGATTTTTGTCGCATCTAAATGTTCAAAGGTTGGAAAAGTGAATTGCGTTTTCTCGATGAAAAGTTGTAATAATTGAAAATTGCGTCCATGCTTGCGCAAGGCTGTGTTTTTTTGTTAAAACTAGCTATGCCATTCTGCACGGGCACCATGATGTTGACGTTAAAGCCTGTTTCGTTGCGTAATGTAAAGCCCCCTTGTTTGACAGACAAATTTTTACCATTGGAATTTGTTTGCTTTCATCACCTTACAATAGATGATTTGACCTCAGGTGCATTCTAGGCCTAAAGTAACTAACCTCGCACACTTAATGTTCCAAAATATATATGCAATAGTCTGCCTAAATAATAATACTATTGCATAATAATTTCAATTAAATAATTTGAATAATTATTTTAATAGATTGAGCCTAAGTTGTTCCACCCTATACCATATAAAAACAAACGAAAATCATGATTTCTCTGGAAGAACACGAAGCTGGACCCTGAAAAGGATTTCTCACCTTATTTCTAAACCTATTAAACGCATATATACACATAGGTTATTAGTATAAACAATTGTATATATACATATACATTACATAAATACACATTTACATTCTATAACAGAATAACATACACTATTATGGTCAAACACAGACTAATTTGTTGGGGTTAGTTAATACACTTAAAAAATTAATTAAAAAACACAGTTGCCCATAACCTGCTCTTGATTACTGTCGGTTCACTTCAATTACGGACCTGGTAACACGTCCTAAGACTTTCAAACCACCCAGTCCAGTCCCGTTCCTAAAAGTTATGTGCATGATCCAAAATTACAAAATTGCCCAATCACAAATGAATTTCAATATGGCACCGATCGGGGTAGTCTTGTCATTTCATGTCACGGTCTTAACCCAGTCAAAAGAGGGATTATGATTGGTCACGGAGCCGTCGTTTCTCCACAGCCATCAGTCCAAGACGACGTTAAAACGGGAAAAAGATATTTTCTTTTTTCCAAAAATACAAACAATAGCACACCCTTCCTGACCTCAGCATTTATATGTACCAAACCCAACACCAAATCGCCATCATCATCATCATCATTATCACCACATTCATAACATACATCATCATACATACCACCAACCGTCTCTCATCTCTATATATTCGTTCCCTTGCCTCCAATTCTTCTCTTCAAACAGCTCTTCACTAATCCTCTCAAACCCCCAAACAAAAACATCCAAAAATACTTAAAACTTCGGTCAAACAATGGGTGAGGTTAGTTAGCAGCTCCTTTCTAGACATGCTCCCTAGTCTGTTCCCTCAATTCTTCAAAAGTTTTAGTTTTCTTTTTTTTTTTTGGTTTTTTGCTTAAATTGTTCTATTCTTTTTTTTCCAGCAAAAAGAGGGAGCTATACCTGAAGCCGAGAAGAAGCCCGCCGCCGATGCCGGGGCTAAGAAAGATGACGGCAAAGTTACCGCCGTTTACAAGATTGATATGCATTGTGAAGGATGTGCCAAGAAGATCAAACGCGCGATTAAGCATTATGAAGGTAATTAATTTTAGTTAATTGATTAAATAATCTCAATTAAGTTTTGAATTCGTCAAAATTGGATAGAAAAATCGGTTTTAGTAGGTCCTTTTTGAATTGTTCGTCAATTTCCCCCGTAATAATCGGGGAATTGGATAAGGATTGGACTTCGGTGCTACTTTTTCAACCTGTTTTTTTTTTTTTAAGAAAAAGAACAAAGCTCTTTTAACGTTAAACATTGGCGCAAGTGGAAACCTAACTGGAAGTTTACCTAACACGGATTGTTGTTGTTGGTGGTTGAAGTGTGGAAGATGTGAAGGCGGATAGTGGAGCCAACAAACTAACGGTGATTGGCAAAGTGGACCCTGCCAAAGTCAGAGACAAATTGGCTGAGAAAACCAAGAAGAAAGTCGACCTTATCTCTCCTCAGCCTAAGAAAGATGCCCCCCCAGCGGCCGGTGGTGGTGGTGATAAAAAACCCGACGCTGAGAAGAAACCTGAAGAGAAGAAAGAAGAGAAAAAACCGCCTAAAGAGGTAATTCCTTTTTTAAAATCTGTTCTAACGTGCGCATGTTAGACATGCGAGGAATCTGGGGCGTCGAGTTGTTCATATCGGAAGTTTAAAAGTCCGGTGACGTGTTCAAATTAATTAACGAACGAGGAGTTTGGTTTAATTGAGTTTTGATTAGTTTCAGTTTTGTATAATTAATTGTGATTAAATTTTTTGGTACAGAGTACGGTGGTTTTAAAGATTAGAACACATTGTGACGGTTGCATTCACAAAATTCGGAAAATCATCAAGAAGTTC